GGCAAGCAAGCATTAAAAAGACAAATTTTATTGATCCTGTCTTCATAGAGAGTGAGGGCTTGGACATGATGCTTTCTTGAAGACTTTTTCAACTGTGTGACTCTACTCTGAAATGACTGAAGAAACGGAGCTATGTAGTGATACCAATAGTACATACCAGCACAGTTTGGTGTGGGATCGTGACTTGGAATGAAAGCCATATTCTGCAAAAATCTCAGTTTCTTCATGTTGATAATCACTTGGATTCTATCATCAACTAGTTACAGATCAGCTATCTACATTAATCTATACTTCAAGTTCTTTCTTTGGCCATTTAACAATAATTATTTTCAGGACTGGACTACACATAACTAGTCTAGCTTTAGCTGCTAGGAGTAATGATTTAGTAATGTGTTCTGAGGCCTTAAAGACAACACCAGTAAGAACAACAAAAGACATGTAATTCCAGATTTAGTCTCTGGAAGAATATTTTTAAAGGGGTTAGCTTTAAAACATTTTGTTTTCAAATTCTAGATGTGCTCAAAATTCTTAATCCTATGTCTTATATTTGACTATTGAGTAGGGGCTCTTTCATTTTTTTAAATGGAAGAGTAGATCATCTTTAAGAGTAGATCACCTACTATTAATAGGGGATTATGTTTAATAATTAGAACTGCAGTCCTCCAAATACTGCATGAGAATAGGTTTATTTCAGAGAACTGTACTCTCAGAGGCTGTTCTTTATATCTTGGAGACTTAATACAAAATAATTAAATCAGCTTCTCCAGTGAGATATTTCATTTCCAATATGAAAATCATGAATGTCTAATGTGAGAACTCAGGACAACTGTACAGCTGCCAACATGACTAGTGACTAAGTATGCAAAAAAACACTCTCTCTCCAAATTCTTCACGGTTGTCCTGAGTTTTATTCTATAATAAGCAGCGTAGAGGAATGGGAAATTTGCACAACCATGCAAATTTCCTACATTTAAGTCACCTGCCTTAAAAACAGGTTAAAGGCAATAAGGAGGGGAGGAGGAAAGGAACAAACTTGTTTTATAAAACACATTTTTGGATGGTGAGGTGGTACTGTTAGAAAAAAAAATGTTTTCTAAAATGTGCATACTTTGGTGAAGTCCACGAGAACTGAAAAAGGTACCACCACAAAAAAAAAAGCATCAGGTGTTCTCCAAGTTTCTACACTTAACAAAGTAACTCCCTTTTACAAACCTGCAGTTTGGCAGAAGCTACAAGTGTCTGTGCTTCAGATAAAATCTTTAAAAATACCTTTAATGTCCCCACCAAATCATTGCTCGTTGCTTAGCTGTACATCATTGCCCTGCTCGCAACTTTGGGACAAAACAGGCACAAAACACAACTCCACCCCCATACCCAGCCCCACCAAAGGTGCCAAAAGCAGGGCTAAAAGTTAAGTGCCCCCCATTTTGCTGCCTGGAGGTACTCACCACAGCGGGTTGCTCCGGAGGGCCTCCTTCCCCTCCCCCAGCACCTAAGCACAGGAGCGAGAAGGGAGAGGGTTTCAGAATTAAATTTGAACTTCCCTGCTTTTGTTACTGTGAGTCACCACCTTAACATTATCTCCACTGTAGACTTTTATCTGTGAATATCTAAGCCCTGTCTTGTGGAAAACTAATTACTGAGCCACTGAGAGGCTTCATAATGTCCTGCATTTAAGTCCTGAACGTCATACATAATGCATAGGAAGCAGTCTCTGCACTCTGATTACAGAACACTGTCATTAAGTGAGCAAATTAAAGATGTGAATAATTCACTGGCTGAGCTTATTGTCAGTGCTGCATTGTGAAATTAGAATTTCTAATAAGTACTGCAATTTTTTTAACCCAATTAACACAGAGAACATCTTGAGTCTGATTAGTACAATAAAAATTATTACCTTATTCTTTTGCTTCACAACAGCCAAATTAAATACTGTACTTAATTACGCAGCATTCATCGCTTCTGTGATAGAATAAAAAAAATCTCACTCTTGCTTTAGTAAGAGTTCTAGTATTTAGAAAACCACTGAAAAAACAGCATTTAAATCTCTAGCGCAATTTCTTATCACAAAGTTGCTTTTTTTTTTTTTAAGACTTTGCAAATCAGTTTTAACATCAGTGGTCGACCATGATGTCACTGCTGAAGTCGTCTCTGGAAACAAAAAATGTATTCGGGGGGAAAAAAAATCACAGAATGACCCTTTCAGACAAGCTCTGAAAATCATAATGAATTAACTTTTGGCGGGTGAGGTAATGACAGGGTACAAAAATCCACTTAATGATTCTCGGCATACATACAGCTTGTGTGCATGTGTATATTTACACACATCTACAAACACATATATATATGCTATATACACACGGAACATATATAGCTTCAAAAAAATGCTTAGGAAAGATACTAAGGAAAAAGAGGAGGAGGAATGGCTCTCTTACCTCAGTTCCCCCTCAGCACGGGATAGATAACATCCTTTCATCCTAGGAAGAAGTCCGACTCAACATCCAGCATGTTGCTTTTCCCGCACACACAGCGCCTGCTGCCATATTAAATAAAGAAAACGATCTCTGAGGACGCAGCTTTTGTCTCCCAATGTTTTTTGGCTGCCTTTTGGTGCCAAGGAGCCCAGGCACCCCAGCACATCTGGCAGGGCAGCACACACCGCTGGCTGCAGCTGCTGCAAGGGCATTTTCTTCAGCCCTATTTCCTTCCAGCTCCTTTTCCTTCCCCATCCCGGGGAAGTTTAGTCAGTGAGCCTTGGTGGGAAAAATAAAAAAATAAAAAATAAAAGAAAGAAAGAAAAAAAAAAGATAAAAGATCAAAGAAGGTGGCATTGCAATCATGAGATTTCTTAGGTTTTCTTCCTAGAGAGAGGGACTGCAGCAAACACCTTGCATCTTTGTCTAGTTATTTTAGCATGTGCGTGCAAGAGAGAAAAAAATAAAGGAGCCCTGAAAATCATTCAGACACAATGCAATAAAGAGAAAGAGAGAGGGAGAGGAGGGAGGGAGGGAGGCAGGGAGAGAGAGAGGAAAAAAAAGCTCGCAGAGACTAAGAGAGGGAGAGGGGCTGTCAGTGCAGATAAATCTGCATATGGAAATCAGGGTTATCCTGGGTACAGTTTTATTTAACCATGATGTACTGTTTTTTTAATTAGACAGGAATTTAGAGAAGGAAATGAGGGATTCTTGCATACACAAGAGCGAACGGAGGTTTTTTAATCACAGCTGAGTTTTCACAGCAGGCTGTGGCACCAAGAGCAGAACTTTTTTTTATGGTAACTTTCCTGTTAGAAAGAAAAGTTTAGTGCGCTGCTGCTAATTTACACTAAAAAAAGAGAAAGAAAAAAAAAGGGGGGAAGAGCATTAAGAACATTTTGAAATTAAACTAACCAAGGGCAATGCAAAATAATGCAGTAACTATTGAAAAGACCAAGGAGACACCATTGCACAGTATGTATCTTAAGAAGTTATGCCAAGTATAGGCTCTAGGACTTTCTCCCAGGCTCCTACTCCAACTGCCCTAAACATGGAAGCGATTCTACTGAACAAAAATAGTGGTACCTAGCCCAAATTCTGCATGTGCGAGCACAATTTCCTGTGTGTGAGGAGCATTGCTACTCTGGAAATGGGTGCCTGAAGGATGGAGAGGGATGAAGGGTTTATGTGAAGGGCTGGGAGATGGGTCTGTGCTTGGGCTACCGGGAAGAGGGGAGACAAGGAGGAAAACCAGCTCCTGCTGCAGGGAGTTGAGAGGCTGAAATGGACCAAGCCGCCAACAAGATGGTGGCTGACAGAGAAACAGGAAGACTAGGAAGCAACAACGAGATCTGGGGGCTTTATTAGGAGCTTGGGGGCCACAACGAGCCCATCACGGCTGGGTGGGCAAGGGGCACCCTGTGAGCCCCGGATCAGGAGGAGAGCAGGGCACAGAACCCTCAAGGGGGGAGACCCAAGCAGAGGACAGGGGCAGCCACAGCGCAGGACCGACGCG